GGGCTTTTCTCTGTATCTATGAAGCGCCTTGAGGCGACATTTGTTGTGATTTGGCGCTATATAAATAAAATTGAATTGAATTGAATTGAAATTGAATTGTTTCCTCTGCAGGTGATGGTAGAAAGTGTGTGTGTGAGCTGATGTGAATTGAGCAGCATGGATCAGTGTGAGGACAGAGAGGAGGGAGTCCCTCCCTCTAAAAGCACTCTGTGTGGGGAACATGAGAGCCAGACCAAAGCTCAGAGGTGAGATGACCATCTCTAACTGTCCATGACTCTTCTCCATGTCACAGCTCAGCACTCACATCACTGCTCCATCATTATTCACAGGAACCCACCTGGACCTCCACCCAGCTCTGTGTCCTTACAGAGTGACGAGTTAAAGAGAGTTGGTTCTTCTCCTGAAGAGAGGTAGTATGTGTGTAAATGTTGTTGTAGCTCAGTGTTTGTGAATAAAGCCTCCATCATGTTTAATGTCAGCTCAGCTCTTTTTCACACACACTTTTATGTTTGTATGTGAAGTGGCGTGTGTTGAACCATCTCAAGGACCAGAGTTATCCCATCATCAGAGAATTGTCATAATTATGATTGTGATGAATTCCTTATTGGTGCCACATTCCTGACTCTAGAGCAGATATAGAAACTTCATGTTAAACAGGTGCCAGTATATATGAAAATCTCGATAAAACTAATTTGAATGTTTATCTTATTCTGGAGTCTTGCCCATTTATTTTCTTTATTTGACTTCATAGTTCATGTTTTTTTAATAAGTGATGTCTTCTAATGTGATCAGTACAGACATCGGTTGATAAAAAGCAAAATTCTAAAGATTTTAACATCTCTTTGTTTCCTTTTGACAGTTTGATCAGTTCTATAAGTTCCTCTTTAATTTATATTTTAACAGCAGTGTTGGAGCTGAAGTTCGAGTAATTTAAATATGTATTCCCACAAGAGGGCACATCACATCTACTCATTGATTCATTAGAATTCAGTATCCAGTGTTTTTCCCATAATCCAGATTAAACATGTAATCTTCTGTAAAATATACTGAATCACTAAATAGTAGATATGATGAGACTATGATTTACATGCTCTCTCATGTTTTACAGGTCAAAGATGGAGGCATCTGTTCAGGAGCAGCTGCTCAACATGTTGGATGATTTGGGAGAAGAGGAGCTGGAACGTTTTCGCTTTTACCTACAGAATGGACCTGGAGGTCATTTCACAACCATCAAAAAGAGCCGACTGGAGAAAGCAAGCAGAATGAGAACAGTGGATCTTATGGTGGAGACATACACTACTGACCATGTGATGGAGGTGGTGAGGTGGATTTTAAAGAAGATTAAAAAAGGTCAGTCAGAAGAAAAAAAACAACATTAGACAGTCAGTACAGTATGCAGACACGACATTAACACATTCATAAAATAAACTGTGACGATCTGTTTTAGGATAAGTTTTAATTTTGTCTTTTTTCCTCATATAATTTAGCACAAATGTTATATTTACATTATTTTGAAGCCATGCAAGTTTTAATTTTTTAAAAGACGAGCTCATGATTCAAGGCGCACATTCCTCCAACAGGCAGTCCCTCAGAACTGGAACCTTCATTGTGTTTATCAGAAGGTAAGACTTCTGATCTGTTTGTCTGTAGATTTTGATAAGGCAGAAACACATGAAGCATGAGCTGACCAATCAGAGCTCTGTTTGTTCCACATGGCATTTCGGTAGCCTCAGCAGTATGCCTAAAGTGTGAGCTCTAATGAGTGAACATGTGTTTGGTTTAATCATCTCTAACTTTATGCCACTGTATGCAAAAGAAGTAACCTAAATATTGATATTCTTTAGTCACATCAAGTTAAAACAGAAGACACAAAGTTACAGAGCTTTAGGTTATGTTTAGGTTATGTTTGAGGGTGAACTGAATGTTTTGAATTTCTGAAAAATGTATTAAAATGTGACCCACCCCCCTCACACACACACACACACACACACACACACACACACACACACACACACACACACACACTTTTCCATAGACTTTACAAGACTGCATCATTATATTTCCTTTTTTATGTTAAATTGCCAATACTTACAATATAAAATGTAATATTTTCAGATGTATCACTCCAAAATTACAATCCTGAGTCCTTCATATGCAGCATATAGAATTTCAGGCTTTGCCTCTAATTTTATTGTGGAAAAAGACCTGCTGGAGATCAACAGTCTCTTTTTAAAAAATTGAGAGAATTTCATTTACCTGAAATTGGATGCACATCCACACTTTGTAGCATTTCTTTCTTCATGGAAATCAGAGATGGTCGAGTAAAAGACCTAATTTGATGTGAGAAGAAATGACTCAAATGTCTGACGAAGTTTAAGATAAAGTTATCACAAAGATGCAAAAAGATAAATAATAAAAAAAGGTCTTGACACTTTTTAAACTGAGTAATAACCTGATTTACTGTTTTTAATTCAGAGGTTCTTCAAAAGTGTTGTTGTAAACTTAAATCTAAGCTGAAGAAGAAGTTCCAGTGTGTGTTTGAGGGGATCGCTAAAGCAGGAAACCCAACCCTTCTGAATCAGATCTACACAGAGCTCTACATCACAGAGGGAG